CATAGTTCAATTCGAATTAAAGCATGGTGTCTACTCTTAATTCAAACCACGATAGCTAACATGCAAGCCTAAATGGTGATCAATCATTCAAACTAGCATATTAACTTATAAGCATAATGAATAAGAACAAAAACCATAATTGAAACTTGGAAACTAATCAAACTTGAAACTAAAGAAAAGAATTTACATAACAATGAAAAGTAAAGTGGAACTAAGAAAAACTTAAGGAGAATTTCAGCACAAAGATTTCATTACAACAATTGAAAACTAGAAAGAGAAACTAAGAGAATTTGAGGGAGAGAAGGGAGGGGAGTTCTAGAGAAGTGTTTGAGAGCTCCCCCCCTTGGGGTGTGTTTTGAAGCTTGAAGACTTCTCTATTTATAGGGCTAAGAGGAAGGAACATCATGATGAAAACCAACACCACCATTCCTCTTTTAATACAATCCATAACTCGCACTTCATCTTGTCTATGTTAGTGTGGTTGGAATCAATTCCATCCCATACTTCTTTTGCTGCTCTTGAAGCTTTCTTCACATGGGATTTCAAAGGTGTTCAATTGTGGTTGCCTTTTGCTGCCAACCCATGTGGGTTTTCTTTTGGTTGCTGGGAAAAACGATTCTTCTGGACCAGGCTTGGTGTAGGAAGGCCTGAGGTTTCAATATGTATCCAATGGGGTTCAAATTTGGATATGTCATAATAGACACCCATTGGAACAACGTTTATGAATAATGTATTCCCATCTGAGCAGTACAAGTGTACGTTTTGGGCCTTACAAGTTGACTGCTGAAAATAGACTGGAATTGACAATGCATTGCAGTAAGCTTGTGGGTTTGTTTTGGGCTTGATCTTCCCTCCTACAAAATCTGGAAAAATCTGGATCTTCAAACCCTTTGAATTATCTTTCCGAGCATATGCAGCCCAACTCAAGAAAAAATCGGAAAGACCTTCAAATGTCATTTTTGGCCCAATAACGTAGATGCTGTCGAATTTGCCCTTAAGCTGCCAAAACTTGCATAACTTCCTCTAGGAGACTCGGAATCATGAACCGTAAAATGCTCCAGAAATTAGACTTCTGCATCTTTCCAATGATATAGGGCTCAGCATCTGGTTCATCCTGAGCAAGTACAGTCCAATTCGTGAAGTTGACTGATCTGCAAACACCGTTTTGAGCTAACTTGCCTCCAAAATGCATTTAATAAGTCTCAAGCTTATTACACTGAAACAAACACAAAATTTATTAAAAGCACAAGTTTAACTCAAGAACATAATCAAATCATAAGTTAGAAGGGTACAAAATGATATATAAATATGCACCGATCAATGGGTTCATACCCACGAGCTGCCGCAAGATGATGATGCACATGACCATCTTTTGGGGCCACATCGTTGAGGTTCTCTTCTCGGGTTGGCTTGGCCGCGACAACCAGGTCATGTACTGTGGTTGTGGGTGGGTATGGTTGGTGGTGAGTTTGGGTGGTTATGGATGCTGGTGCGATGGTGCGATGGTGCGGTGGTTGATCTTTGGGGATACGGATTGATCTTTGGGAATAAGGATTGATTTCGGGGAGAGTTAAGATTTTATTTTATTTTTAAAGCATATAGAAGGAAAAATATTTATTTATTAATTTTTCCATTTTATTTATATATATTTTTACTTAAAAAATTAATTATTTTATTTTATTTTATATTCAATTCAATTTAAACAAAAAAAGTTGGCCATTTACATGACACATCATCACTTATAGTAAAAAGACTAAAATAGCCATGCCACGTCATCAAAACTGATAGAGTTATTAATGGAGATAACTATGTGGGTAAAGTAGAACACGAAATCACAATCAAGGAGATTAACTTGGCCATTTTAACTTTTGGGTGGTAAAGTGATATTTGACCGAAGTTTCAAGAGGCACTACAATAAATAAGCCTTCAAGAAACTACTTACTCAATTCAATAAATGCATCCATTGAGTTGGGTTAAGAGTAGTTAGCCATGCACTTGAGGTCTTGTGTTTGAATCTCTCCTTCTCCAATATCGTTTGTATAAAAAAGAAAAACGTTTATGGTAATTGTTGTTAATATTATGTTAACTCGCAATTGTACGGGGCAATTAGTAGTATAGCAAGACAAGTACGAGGTTGTACCCACGAAGACTGAGAAGTTAAAACTAGTTATGTACTTAGATTACCAAATTCAAGAAAGTAGGAGGTTATGTCTAAAACAGAATTTAAAACAAGACTGGTTGTGATTGTTGAACAAAAGAAGCAAAATGAAATTGCAAACAAAAACAAGTAAACAAATGTAACAAAGAGTGGTTTTAAGAGTTGGAAAACAGATTTTGAGACTAGGGCATTCGAATCACCATAACAATTCAATTCTGGGTTATAAAGATTCAAGTAACAAGTCTAATTCAGATTCAAAGATTGATTCTAGCTAAAGTATGATTAGGCCATGGTGTTTGGTCCTAACCTTGTGTTCCTAATTCCCTAATTTGATCATTTGTTGTCTAACCTAAAATTAAGCATTAGGAACCCATTAA